AGAGAGAGAGAGAGAGAGAGAGAGAGAGAGAGAGAGAGAGAGAGAGAGAGAGAGAGAGAGAGAGAGAGAGAGAGAGAGAGACCGACAGAGGGAGACAGAGGAAGAAGGAGAGAGAGACACACACACAGATAGAGAAAGAGAGAGAGAGATTGTTTGTTAACATTTCTTCTACTTCGTCTATATGAGAAGCAAATTGCTGTGAAAATAGAAAAAGATCTTCGCTTAAACCCAAGGGTAAATCTTGTGCAACTCCACCTGGTCGTATATAATTAGCATGCATTCTTGCTTCCGAAACTCTTTCATAAAATTCTAACAATTTTTCTCGTTCTTCAAAAGCCCAAAGAAAAGGTGGGTTAATGCTCCTACATCCATAGCATGGGTGGTTAATGCAAGTAGATGATTTAAGATCCAGGTAATCTCACAAAATAACACTCGTATATATTGAGCTCGTAAGTATTCTCGAATATTCAAATCTTGATACAATAATTGATTATAATTCTCCATAACAATAAAATTGAGTCAAGAGTTAAATTGATGGACCGTAGTAAAACGTTTTATTCAGCCGTAACAAGTGCTCTCCGAACCGTGCGAGATGGTCGACCATCACACGGCTCTCCATAGCTTCGTCCTCAGTTTGATATGAAGTACAAAAAAGAATTGAAGGTAATAAAGTAGGCAATGTGGTAAAAAAGAAGAAACTAGTTTTTCGAGAGTCTGTAGATCTCAATCCAGGAGTCAAGCAAGAATGAATACCACATATACGAGTAAAAACTACGACTTCCTACAGGAAAGCTTAGTCAGATTACACACACTGCTTACCCTATCTATTGGGTCGTTGGTTTGAATCCAACCCAGGGAGCTGTTCTGTGTTCAAATATACGATCGACCGACATTCTATTACAAAGATTGGAGATCAGCACGTTGAAGGTTGGTCACCAGAAAACTGGTTTCTTTCGGCTGGCCAGAGAGAGTCGTGACCAACGCCCAGAGAATATGTCGACGAGGGCGCAGCACTTCGTGTGTCCTCTTACGCACGGCGCACCATAACCAAATAGTTGCTTCGCCAATGAAGGATTTCGTGCAACAGAATGAATCAAAGAATTAAACACGTTTCCAATACCTACAGCGGCTCCAGCTAATGCGACTGGAAAGCACCCCCTTTCTAGATGATATTAGGAATCATATGTATAGTAATTACGTTATATTACATATTTGACTTCACCGTAGTCAAACAAAACGCACCTGAAAAGCAAGTGTGGCAAAAAGACAAGGCAAAAAAGAGAATGAAACGAAACAAAACGCGCCTGACAGGCTGGCACGCGGAACAAAAGAAAAATGAAACGCTGCTCACCCTAGACCTTGCTCCGCTACTCACCCGACGTGCAAAATGGGAATGAATCTTCCGCATGAACATGGAAAGATACACCGCCATACTTTTTGTCTTTTGGGCATGTGGTGACCACTCGAGTGAGCCCGGATTCGCCCACTGGCAAAAGATACGCCCAAAAGAGAAAAAATATGGTGATCTTTACATCTTCTAGCTGAAGATTCATTCCGATTTTATGCATTGGGTTAGTGGAGCAAGCAAGACCTGTACCATAACTACGGGCTGCTCCTCTACTCTTGAAATGTGTGAAATGAGACTGAATCCTCCACGAGAACATGGAAAGATACTTGCCATATTTTTCTCTTGTGCATGTCAAGAGTAGTGGAGCGAGGCCCTGCGGCGCGATTTGAGAGTCAGCTTTCAGCAACAACTGGGGGCACATTGTCAGTGGTGATTCGCACAATCGTATCTGCTGCCCGTATTTTTTATTTATTTTTTGCAGATTGAGCGTATTTCTTTTCTTCTTTTTTTTTTTTCCACGACCTTAAAGACAGCAAAAGACAAAAAAGAAAACAATGGCACGCTTCGCTCTTCCCGTGTCCAGCCCAAAGCTGCACCGACCCTGTGGGGGTACCTTCCGGCATGCTCGGGGCTGGGTAAAAAGGCCGGGAAACCGGGAAAAGGGACTGGCGGTTTAATAGGTAAAAAAATGCAGTCAAATGATGTAAAAAAAAAAAAAAAAAAAAAAAAAAAAGAGGAAGAAGGATGCTTGGTGTTTTCTGACATTTTTCAAAAATAGGTGATGACTTCTGGCCATTTGTTGTTCCTGTCTTCTGTGATTCCCTTTTTTTTTTTTTTTTTTTTTTNGCAAGTGTTCCCCAACAGACCAGACGGAACCCACCAAAGCTGTCATGATCTCAACACCAGGTCTCTACAAGGCCTCCCCAAACATGGATTAGGCTTGGTGACTATAGTTGCATTGAAGAGATAGGAAGATACACAAGCTTGTCAATCACACATTAGAGCGCAATCCAAAAACTGATGTATATTCCAAGTATAAGGTATAGAGATACACATGTACGAAAGAGTGCATGCCGGTTGGGATATGGCTCCCCGACCGGTTTCGGCCGCCGTCACAGGGCAGTGTGACCCACCCCAGCTCCAGTCCCGGCAACGGCCCCCGGTTGACCACTGGAATGCCCCCCCCAAAGCAATTCCCAGATCTCTCTACCAGGCCTCATGCTCCAGCCAACAGCAGGTTATAGGGCAGAGCCCAGCACCGGTCAGCGTTGTAGCCCAGCACCGGTCAGCGTTGTTCTGGTGTCGGCCATCCATGGACCAAACAACGTAACAACGTTAGTGCGGCGTCGGATGAGCTACTAAACACCACCTGTTTATCCTGGCTTCCCAGTTCCTGTGACAACAGGAGTATTCATGGAGAAAACTACTGATCAGTTTTTTTTTTTTTTTTTTTTTTTTTTTTTTGAAATTTGGGGGTTTTGTTTTGATTGGGAACACAGAAAATGGAGGCGGCATTTTTTGAGTCGTTGATTTGCAATGTGGATGACCAGTCAGCTCAAAACCTCATTTCATGTGCTGTAAGTACTTCCCATCTTTTCTTCATATTTCTTTTCATTAATTTTAAACTGTTTTAGTTTTTTTTTTTTTTTTTTTTTTTGCTGCAAGTGTTCTAAGTTCCCAACGGCTGTGCCATTATTCGCCACATCGCAAAACCGAATCGAATCTATCTGTGTCACTGTGTGAGTAAATATCAAATGAGGCACAGTACTACTGTATGATGCACAGTACTACCCAATGAGTCCCGGGGCTAGGTCCTACTGCCAAAGCGGATTGAACGAAGCACGTGAATCTAGATGTGTTCTTCTGGAGATACGGAGAAATGCAGATCAATTGCGATTTTGTGCACCTCTCCACAAACACGTCTGGATTCAGGCATTAAATTCAATCCTCTTTGCTAGTGGGACCTTGCTCCCAATTGTCTTCTGATTTGCAATACCTTGTCCTTTGGCCTGTTTCCAGTAATGTGCTTTTTTTAAGTTTTTTTTCTTTTTCTGTTTTTCGTTTTTTTTTTTTAATCAGATATTAAACTGATCAGAACAGATACTACACTTGATCTTAGCCAAAAGGCCGAGAAAGGTATTTTCTGTTTTTCGCTTTTTTTAACATTTTTTTTCTTTCATTGCTGCTCGTCTCTTTTTTTTCTTTTCTTTTTTTTGCCCTTTGTTTCCAAACAGGCTGAGGATGAGAGAGGTTTTGCAGCAGTGAAGGCATGGGGCAATTCAGGAAGGGATAGACTGGATGGGGTCGGTGGCGCAATATCCGTCAGTCAAAGTCAAAAGTTGTCTTCTCCGTTTCCTGCCGTTGACGACTTCATTACTGAAGTTGCAAGTGTAGATCAGTGTCCAGGTAAGTTGTTTTTTTCACTTTTTTTTTTTTTTTTTTTTTT